AAAAACAAAAAACACACACAAAAAAAGATGAATAGTATCACATGCAGCACTTTTTCATATGTACGTGCAGAAGAATTTTCGATAACAAGGCTAATGTATTCGATCAAACAGAGTATACGTGTAACTGCTTAGTTGCTTCCTTTATGAAACAGCATTGTTTTCCAGTAGCATACTAAAGGCTAAAGCATGAAGTTCCAATATCAATACAGATTATAGAGGATACTTCTAACTCATAAGAATTAAATCAAGAGAAATGCATGCCCATGGAAAAAAAAAAAAAAATACAATATTGCTAGTGAAATATGACTTTACCCTCATATCAATTGAAGTGGCCCCTGGAATCACTTCACTTCCAAAATCATTGGCTCCCGGAAATTTCTCTCTGAGTAAATTCAACATAGCATTCTTGCTGAAAACGTAGATGCCCATACTCGCAATATAAGGCATTTCTTTTGCCCTCTCTTCGTCAAGACCCAAAATTGTCGTATCCACCTTGCGCAATCATGAACCACAAAAAATTAGGACAAATCGTATGCAATAAAATGCATATTATAATAATGACTACAATAATTAATATTTTCATATAAACAAAATTAGCACAAAAGGCTTGCAGTTTATTACCCTCATTGCCTTGAGTTGTTCTCCCTTTGGCTTCTCGGCAAATTCAGTAATCCTTCCTTCCTCATCAATCTTCATCAGACCAAATGCGGTGGCACGTTTTCCATCCATGGGCAAAGCCGCAACTGTTATATCTGCATCAGTTTCCCTGTGGGCTTGGATGAATTTCTCGTAATCCATCCGGTACAAATGGTCACCGGCGAGAACTAGATATTCAAGAACGTCTTGTTCTTCAAAAAGCCATAGATACTGCCTCACAGCATCAGCAGTGCCCTAACCAATCCAAAAATCGGAAATAAAATAACTGAACAGAAAAGAAAATAACAAGTCAGACAAGAAAGATGATTGTTTCTAGCTTTCATTTTATTTTACCTGGAACCAATTTGGATTCTCTGGGCTTTGCTGGGCAGCTAGAACTTCAACAAAACCTTCATTCTTGTAGCCACCCATATTACTGGCATACGCCCGTGATAAGTGACGGTTAAGGGATGCAGAATTAAACTGAGTCAGAACATAGATCTTTGATATGTTGCTGTTGAGACAATTACTGACAGGTATGTCGATCAACCGATAATTTGCCCCCAAAG